GATGCTGGGTATTGAACCCAGGGCCTTGTGCATGTGAGGCAAGCAAGCGTTCTATCAACCAAGCTACATCCCCAGCCCCAAGAAATTTCTTAATTCTGCAGCAAAGTCCAGTGACTAAGCAGTGGCGAGAGAAACCACTCCATCTTGGCACCAGTGGTTCTGGTTGAGGCTACTTTTCAGGTCACATTTTAGGATTTGGAGATGAATCAGGTGAGGGGGCATTTAAAAGTAAGAAAGGACGGGTCTGCATAGACTGTTCTGAAAGAGGCACCCAGGCCACAGGGCTTGTTGTAGGAGCTAGGTTGCTCAGTGGTGGGCACGTGTCACAGGTGTCCTGTGCAGGATGCAGTTTGAGAGATTCCTCACAGTGGCCTTGGAGGCACATGTGTGGGAGGGTTCCTTCCTAGTGACTCTGGTTTCTGTTTGTGAAGTGCTGAGGGTGGGACCCAGGGTCTTGCCCATCCATGCCAGGCAGGTGCTCTACAGCTAAGCCACACGCCTGGTCCCAGTTATCCCAATTTGATACTCACAATTGTCACAAGCTGTACAAAACMGTGAGCCAGAGGCAAGTCATTTTTGTCATATCCTGCAGCAAGTAAGGGGCCAGACTTGGCTACAAGGTGGCTGTGGGTATCTCAGCACTGACCTGGGGACTTCCCTGGGGCTTAATGTAGGCTGGGTGGCTGGAGGACCTGGAGGGTTTTGCCAGTGTTATCAGCAGYGAGGAGGGAGGGGCCTCGGCAGGCAGACAGCATGGCTCCAGGGGCTCTCTGCGGGTGGGGCCAGATGTGGTCAGAACTCCTGCAAGAYGGTTTTCAGAATGATCTGTTGCAGGAAGAGAAGACCCAAAAGCCTCAGGACTGTTGTGGCTACTGTAGGATTCCATTAAAGAAACAGGTGGGCTTTCTTAGGTTGTGTAGGTGTTTGTTCTGTCTGCAGCTAGTAGGCTGGGGGAGCAGCTCAGTGGTACAGCACTAGCATGCCAGAGGCCCTGGGCTCCATCCCCAGCACCAGAAGTCTTAAAAAAAAAAAAAAAGTGGGACTAATATAGTGCCCTCCTCGGGTGGGAGTTAACTCTCTATAACTGCCATGTTTGTGACAAATATTTTTCTCAGTTTGTCCTTTGATTTTTAATTGTGGCATTCTCTATATTAAAGTTGCAATAAATATTTATGGAATTGGCTTTTGCTTTCCTGCCTACATACAGGCCAGTGTTTCTCCTCCCTGCCCCTCTGCAGCTTCACCATAGCACATGTAGCTAGGGCTCCCCTGGATCACCAGGAGATGCCCTGGGGCTGTTTCATTCTCATCACCAGGGCCCAGGCCTTAGCCTTTTGGATGCTAGAGACCCAGGCAAGRTGGCTCCTGCCTGCAGCCCCTCCCACTCCCTCAACAGTACCCATACAGCCCAGTGAGCGAGGTATAAGCAGTGGGAAGGGCTGTGGCCCACCTGGGTGAGTGCATCGTCCTTCTGGGTTAGGTTCTCAATGATTTCAAAGTGGTCCACATCACGCAGTTCTTCAAAGGAGGCTCTCCAGCCACCACGGCACAGTGCCTGGGCGGGGGAGTGAGGAGGAGTAGGTGTGAGGCTGCAGGAGGGGAGGGGGACACACAGGCGCCTGGCACATGGCAGTACTCAGTAAACACTTGTCAGGTAATTGACATGGTCTTGGGATCCATTTGGGCAAAATGAAGAGAGAGAGAGAACGAGTGAACCATGTGACCCATGACCTCCAGACAGACTGGGTGCTGAGTACCTGTTGAAACTCCCTGGACTGGCGGTGGAATTCGGGGGAGTCATGCTGACCCACAGCCACCAGCACAGGGCAGGCTGGATCCACAGGCTGTGTCCCRGCCACCTCCAGGTGCCGCTGAGGGCTGTTCCTCTGAGCATCTTCCCTGGGGCAGGGTGGGGCAGGGTCAGGACAGGCAGCCAGGCCCTAGGCTGGCAGGGCAGCAGGAGGGCAAGCAACTCACAGGGTCATGAGGAGAGGAGCATTCTGTGAGGTGAACACGAGGGGCTGCAGGTCATAGACCCCACTCACCAAGAAGAAGCCTGCAAGGGAGGAATTCAGGTGGGGCAAGACCAGGGTTGGGGTGGACAGGAAGCTGAGAACGCCCTGCTCCAGGGGAACAGAGCCCTCCAAGTCAAGCCACRCCTGGCCATTAGGATTCTGAGCAGCTGGCCCAAACCCTCAGCACCAATGGGGAAGGGGAASGCTGCCCAGTTAGGCTGCAGTCCCTGCAGATACCTCTAAGGTTGGGTGTTACTCCGTGCTTGGTCCAGTTGGTCAGGAGGACCATGGCAGCCAGGTGGGCCCCAGCAGAGTGTCCACACAGGTAAATTCCCCTGGTGTGCCAGACAGCCGAGTTTGCATTCATTTTCCTCAAAGCATCAGGATCCCAATTGGCCTTCCACTCCATAGGCCAAAGGGGCAGGCAGCCTGGCCGTGCCCAGTGGGCCTGGATCCACTGTCCTCCCACCCAGTGTGATCCAACAAGAAGAGCGACACCCACTTATTGCTTGGAAACCGCTTCTCAACAAAGGCAACGCTGCGRGCCACCTGGTCTACCATCTGGTCCAGAGTGCCTGAACAGGGGCACAGGCTGGGTCAGCATCCATCGGGGGCTCTCCTCCCACAAAGCCCACTGGCCTTGGAGCTRCAGGGACACCCTTGTTACCTTTGGGGGCAATGTCATATGCCACTATCACCACAGCCACTCCCTGTGCTGTCAGGGGGTTGACCATGAAGGCAGATTCGTCTTTACTGCAGAAAGAGACAAAAAGCGACACTTGGAGGCCACTCGTCCCCCACGCTGCTTCTCCTATGTCCCGGACACACCACATGCCAGATGTCCCATGCAAGCAGAGCGTCGCGTGACRGGGAAGAGCGCAACTGGGGACTTCACCCTCTAAGCCTGGTTCCCTCACCTATAAAATAGGGACAAATATGTTCCCTCTTGGCTGCTGCAGCTGCCTTTCTTTCTTTCTCTCTTTTTTTTTTTTTTGGTGCTGAGGATTGAGTTCAGGGCACCTCTACCACTGAGTCACACCCTCGGCCCTTTCATATTTTATCTTGAGACAGGCTGGGCTAAATTGCCAAGGCTGGCCTTGAACTTGAGATCCTTCTGCCTCAGTCTCCAGAGCCGCTGGGATTACAGGCCTGTGCCACTGCRTGTAGCTAAACTGCTTTTGAGAGGTGAAGGTCAGAACTGGCGCGAAGGGCGTGGATCCTGGCAGACAACAGTAACAGGGCGCTAGGGAACATCAGTGTGCTCCAAGCTCCAAATACCCTTCTTAGCTCATGGTGACCCACTGTCCCAGCTGGCCTGGGACATTCTCCCCCCCCCCCCCCCAGCACTTTAAGCTCCAGATCCTGGGAGATCTTTCTGTCCTAAGCAATTGGGACAGTTAGTCACCCTGGATTTTCCCTTGATGTGAGAGCTGTCCAAACACGCTTTTCTCACTGGGCATAGTGGGTTGGATTGTGTTTCCTAAAAAGACATGTACCAATCCTAACTCCCAAAACKTGCAGATATGACCTTATTTGGAAATAGGATCTTTGCAAACAGAACTGGAAGGGCCTTAAATCCAATGACTGTTATCCTTCTAAGAACAAGCAGAGGGAGATTTGAGACAGGATACCAACAATGAAGTGAAGCTGCAGGCAGAGGCTGGGGTGATACAGCCACAAGCCAWGGGACACCTGGAGCCACCAGAACTGGGAAGAGGCCAGGAAGGATCCTCCTCCCCTCCCTAGAACCTCAGAGAGCGCCCAACTCCAGGGCCACCCTGAATGCCAACTTCCACCTCCAGCAGCCTGAGAATGGATTTCCACTGCTGGAAGCTGCAAGCTGAAAGCAGTTTGTTGCAGCAATCCTGGGTCCCCAGAGAGAGAGTCTCCCCTGTCCAAATCCCCGACTCACCTTCCACTCTGCCAGTACCCTCCGTGAAAAAACACGAAGAAAGGCAAGGCTGTAACACAAAAGAGTGCAGGGTAGGGCCAGGCACCGCTGCCTGCTTAGGACCGCCAGCCCACCTGGCTCACCTTCAGATGCCTGGTCAGGAAAGTAGATGTCCATTTTCTCCCCGTCACCATCTCCATAGGGGACATGCAGCTGGTTCCTGCAGGTGTCACGGGCTTTCCTAGTGGCTGCCTCAGGAAATAGACAGTTGCCAGTAAAGCTCAGATCACAGCAATTTCTTCTCYATCTCATTTGTGCCCTACATGGAGCTATATCCCAGCCCCTTCTTTATTTTGAGACAAGATCTTGCTGAGTTGCCCAGGCTGGCCTTGAACTTGTGATCCTCCTGCCTCAGCCTCCAAAGTTACTAGGGTTACAAGGGTATGCCACTGGGTGGGCAGCAGCAATTTCTATGTCAGGCTGGGTTGACAAGCAAGTATCAGCTGAGAGTCCCTCCGTGAAAGAGGATTCCCCAGTCTTGGCCGTGACCTGTGGCTCTGACGGGCACCTTTCTCCCTCTRCTGTACTGCGTGCTGATCTCAGGCACTGGGCTTTGCAACGCACCATAAGAGGTGCAAAGTATCCCAAACTTTTGGGAAAATAAGCCTCTAGAGAAACAAGACTAGAGACAAAACTAAGAGATTTCTTAGTGACGAGACCCAAGTCTAAACACGAAATTCCCGGGGTTGGGGATTTAGCCCAGTGGCAGAGCGCTTGCCTAGCATGCGTAAGGCCCTGGGTTCGGTCCTCAGCCCTGTAAAAAAAAAAACAATTTAAAAATAAACACGAAATTCTCTGATGTTTCATATGCATTTTACACATGTAGTCTGAAGGTAATTTTTACAGTATTTTTAGGGTGACTACATTTTGACTGCGACACCTCATGTGAGGTTGGGTGTGGAATTTTCCCCTTGTGGCATCATGTTRGTGCTCAAAAAGCTTCAGGTTTTAGAGCATTTTGGATTTCAGATTTTTGGAACAGTGTATCCTACATCAATTAGTGTTGTATGCCAGGTGTGGTGATTCACACCTATAACCTCAGCTACTGGGGAGGCTGAGGCAGGATTGTAAATTAGAGGTCTGCCTAGGCAACTCAACAAGACCCTGTCTCAAAATAAAAAATAAAAAGGGCTGGGGATGTGGCTCAGTGGTTAAATGCCCCTGGGTACAATCCCTGGTATCAAAAAATAAAAAGGTCTGGGGTTGTGGCTCAGCGGTACAACAGCCCTGGGTTCAATCTCTAGAACCACACACACACATACACAAAAAGTATTTTGTGTAATTTTTTTTATACATATGTATTAAAATGATGTAAAATATTTTTAAATTGTGGTGAAATATACATAATTTTTACCACTTCAATTTTTTTATTHTTAGTAGATGGACAGAATACCTTTATTTTTCATTTATTTAATTTTATGTGGTGCCAAGGATGGAACCCAGTGCCTCACACACACTRGGTGAGCTCTGCCGCTGAGCCCCAGCCCAGCCCTTCGTTTCTAAGTGCAGAGCTCAGTGGCATTAAGTTCCTCCACACCGTGCAGCCCTCTCTGGAACTTCTCCATCTCCTTAAATTGACAATGTTCCCATTAAACATGACCTCCRCACTCCTTCCTGCCCCAGTGCCTGGCAACCACCCTCGTGTCCTGTGAACCTAGAGCCTTTAGGAGGAATTGTGCTGTAAGCGTCCGTTAGCACCTGGACAATATGTACATACTGCGTTTTGTTTAGCATAAAATGTGTTTCTACTGAAGGTCCTGGTAAAACAAATTCAAAAACCATCGGTGAGGAAATAGTTCTTAAGCCCCATCTGCCAGTCTCCTGCCCCTGAGGGGTCTTAGCAAGTCACAGGGCAGCTGACTCTGTCCTCCAGGTGCCCAGCCCCAAGAAGGCCAGGACTTGGAGAGGGATGAAGGCAACCAACTAATTACGAAAGAACACACCCCACTGGAGGTCTAGGTCAAGGCAGTGGGGGTGGATATAAACAGAGGAGAAAGGTTAATTCTCCCTGGTACAAAAAAGAAAAAGTTTAACCCTCTCTTTTCGTGGAGCATTTATTTTAGGAAACCTACCATTRTAAATCTTTACCCCTTTGAAATGTATACAAATAGTTTTGAAAGTTAAATGAGTCTTGCTGGTTTYATTACCTCAAGGGCCTGGGAGCCATCTCTTGGGATTGTAATCATCAAGGAGGATAAAGTCTATCCCTCAGACTCCAGGGGARGGCGGGAGGAGGCCACCCTCTGCTGGCACCCAGCTCTAAGTTGCAAACCCTCCTCCTCCTGAAAATAGGGAATTCCCCCCACCTTTGGATAAAGGCAACCAGCAAACACAACAATGGCCACTCTAATTTCCAGGTGGATTTAGGGTGGACTAGTGCGGCAAATGGTGTTTCAGGGCTCTGAAGCAGGGCAATGAGGTGCCACTACCTGGCTCTGGGAGGATGGGGTTTCACCCTGGATCTGCAGTCTCTTTGGTGGATCACCTGTGGGGAGTCCTAGTGAAGTGGGGTTGAAACCTTACTCAATAATAAACCTTCTTCTTTTCTTCTGTGTTTGTGGAGARGTTTTTCTGGGACGGAAGACTTTATTTTTCACCATTTCCCCAATATCGTCTGCTTTATATCCTCCTTCCRTCTCCTGGAAGTTTGATTCCAATGAGGCAGCCTCTGCGTCCCACAGACTGCACTGAAATCTGGAAACCTGATTTCTGGGGCTGGGCACTCAGCTAACATGCCTGACCAACACCACCCCTTGTCTATGTGCCCTACTCTGACGGGAAGCTTGGCTTGGGGAAGGGGCCCCCGTCACTGGCTGTATCAGCTTGGGTAAGTCATTCAACCTCCTGTCTCAGGCACCAAATTTAAGCAGGACTCAGTAATCAAGGTCAATATTCTAATATAATACTTTTTGTGTGTGTGAGGTTCTGGAGACTGAGTCCAGGAGTATTGCACCACTGAGCAATATCCTCAGCCCTTTTTAAATTTTTGAGACAAGGTCTCATTAAGTTGCCCAGGCTGGGCTTGAACTTGTGATCCTCCTGTCTTAGCCTTCAGCATACTAGGATTATGGGCTTAATAAAATACTTATTAAAAATCAAAAAGTCCCTTGTCAGGCACAGGAGCACACACTTGTAATCACAGCAATTGGAGAGGTGAAGACAAGAGGATTGCCAAATTTGAGGCTAGCCTCAGCAATTTAGTGAGGCCCTGTCTCAAAATAAAAAATAAAAAGGGCTGGAGATATATCTCAGTGGTACAGTGYCCCCAAGTTCAATCCCTAGCAATAGGAAACCCCACACCAAATAACCTATCAAAATTTTAGGAGCCAAGGATGTGGCTCAGAGGTAGAGTGCTTGCCTAACACGAGCAAGGCCTGAGTTCCATCCCCAGCACTGCATAGCCCACATCTGGAGTCCTAGCTACTCAGGATACTGAGTCGGGGATCCTTGAGCCCAGGAGTTCAAGAGCAGCTTGAGAAACACAGCAAGATCTTGTTTCTTTTTTAAAAATAGAGACAGGCTGCAACCCAGCACATGCACAAGCCTGCTGTACACGCCACACCTGTTCATGGGCTCGGGATCTGCATCTGTGAAGTGGGTTAGTCCTACCCACAGCTCTGCGGGGTCTACTGGAGCCTTGGAAGAGGAAGGGGAGCAAGAGCTTGTCAAGGTACAGCCCCCCAGGGCTTGTGGAGAGACCTGCTGTTTCTGATCACTGGCACAGCACTCCGCTTAGCTCTGGCTTTTGACATCCTACTCCATTCTCAGTAGGGCCAACTCTTTTATCCCTGCAGGCCATTAAGACAGGCGAACAGGTCTTCTCAAGCTCACACACACTCTCTCTCTCTCTTTCACACACACACACTCTCTCTCTCTCTCTCTCTCTCTCTCTCTCTCTCTTACTGTGCAAACTGAGGTACATACAGCACAGAGCTGGTGTGTGTGAGGTGAAGTGAAGGACCCTGATGTGCCCAGGAAGCTGAGGACAGACAGGGAGGAGGATGGAATGTATGGAACAAACTCCCCAGAAGCACGATTCTCCGCCTGGTTATTTCAGTATGGAAAACCACTCACCCTGGGATCCCAGATAGCTGCCTCCGTAAGGCAGAGAGAATCCTGCGAAAGGTTGMGGCCAGCTGCAGGAACAGGCAGGTTTGCCAAAGTCCAGTTTACCGCACTGAGCAGCCATGCCTCCGGGCCACGCTTCCTCTTGGGCTGCCCCTGCCCAGCACTATGCAGGCACAGGGCAGACAGGGTCCACGGGGACACTCACGTGTGTACAGGTTCCCGCACCCTCATTTATTGATTGATTTGCAGTACTGGGGATTGAACCTAGGGCTGTGCTATCACTGAGCCACATCCCCGCCCTTTCTATTTTTCATTTTGACACACCCTGATTTCTTTTTTTAAATATATTTATTTTTTAGTTGTAATTGGACACAATACCTTTATTTTATTTATTTATTTGTTTTTATGTGGTGCYGAGGATCAAACCCAGGGCCTCACATGCTAGGCAAGCGCTGTGCTGCTGAGCAACGACCCCAGCCCACACACCCTGATTTCTTTCAAGAAGAAAAAGGCTTGTTGCTTTTTATAAATAAACACCACCGGCCCAACAGTGGGGTAGGAGCCTTCCTTTTTTCACCTCACCTCCCTGTGCCAACCATGGCATGTGAACTTTAGGGCCTACGACAGTTGGCTGAGCAGGAAGGGAGTATGCTCAACAGAGCCATTGCCCTCACCTGGGCTGCTCCTGCCTCCACCCACCCTGCAGTGAGAGTCTGGGCACCTGCCCCCTATCCAATGCCTGGTGTTTGGGAAGTGCCCCTCGAGACTCTGGGGTTCAGCTCCTCCCTTCCCCCAGTATACCAAACCACTGCCCACATGCTAACAGCCACCCAAGGCAGCTATAGAGAGACAATATGGTACCCTCAATTCCTATCTGCTTATAGGTCCTCAGGGCTTCCTCTGCTCCCATTCGGATGACCCATCTGCTGGGCGCATACTGGTTCTCCAGCTCCTATAGGACAAACAGACTCCATGAGACCCTTGTTCTCAACTGTGTCCCCTATCCCTCCCACTCCTCCGGCTCCTCTYTCCTTGAGAAGCCCCCAGGCTCTCGAAGGTGCCTCAGCTTCCTTCATGCCCCTCCAACCTCTGCCTGGCCACTGTTCCTCACTCCTCCACTACTGCCCCATTAGTGCTTCAAGCAGTGAAGACACCCTAGGATCCATGGTCTGGATCCCCTGGGGACAGCTGTGCCTTTAGCCAGCTGACAGCCCCATGGGGAGATGCAGTCCCATAAAGGTGTCCAGTTAATGGCACCATTGCTGAGGGCCATTGCCAAGTAGGTATGACGCATCGATATTTCCTTGCCAGCGTACCCCATGTTAAATGGACTTGTCTTGGAAATTTGCTGCGACCTTGCATGTGTGTTTGAGAAAGATGACCCTGCTCAAGGTGATTGAGGGTGGATCCAGGTTTGAGGAAGTATCCTGCAGGTTTGAGGAAGTATCCCGGTCCTTG